CAGTATATATATATATATACATATATTATGTATAGTTATGCATTATGAAATATGTAACAAATTATATTTACATTTGTTATTAAATGTATCTCATTTGAAGAACTAAATGCTTTAGCAGGGTTTGGAACACCATCTTTTGGATTTAGTACACCAGCTACCTCAGCACCAAGTCTGTTTGGTTCTGCTTCAACTCCAGCAACAGGAGGATTTGGAAGTGGTACTACTTTTGGAACACCAGCTGCAACTGGTTTCGGTAACACATCGACAAGTGGTTTTGCTTCAGCACCTACCTTCGGTGCTACTTCTACCACTGGTTTTGGAACAGCTCCAGTATTTGGAAGTACAACTGCTTCGTCAGGCACTGCATTTGGCACTACTTCTACTTTTGGTAGCACACCAGCCTCTACTAGTGCATTTGGTACATTTGGGACCACTACAACATCCTCTTTAGGCTTTGGTGGTTTCGGTGGATTTGGAACTACGACAACTACCTCTGCACCTTCTTTTTTTGGAGGGTTTGGCACTACAAGTACAGCTCCAACTTTTGGTACTTCTACAGGTTTTGGCGCTTTTGGGACAAAACCAACAACTACAACTACAACTAGTGGTTTTGGTGGTTTTGGTACAGGTTGGTATTACTTTTTTTTTATTTATCAATATAATTTTTTGTAATGTATTTTCTTATTAAATTTTTTTATCAGGCACAGGATTTACAGGATTCGGATCTGGTTTAGCACAAAATCAGCAACAGTTCCAACAACAGCAGCAACCACAACAACCCGTTAATACTATATCTGAAGCATTATACAATGCCGTATTTAATTGTCAACTGTATAATGATGAACGTGATAATATTATCGCGAGATGGAATCTTATACAAGCTTTGTGGGGAACTGGGAAAGCTTACTATTATATGAATGCACCACCTATAGAGCTTAATCAAGAAAATCCATTATGTAGATTCAAAGCTATTGGATACAGCAGAATGCCCGAGGCTGATAATAACGACGGTCTAGTCGTACTTTGTTTCAATAAAAAGAAAAAAGATGTTAAAGAGGGTGAAGCGCAATTGATCGGTTTTATGAATAACGTTTTAGGAAATAAACCTAATTTATCGCTTATAATAGACAACATTAAAGCAACTGGGGAAGACAAAAGTCAAGTGACTATTTTTGTCACTGAAAAGGGAATTACTGGAGCTCCTAGGAAAATACCTGCCAATGAGTTAGTTGCGTATTTATCGCAACCAATGCAAAAACAACAATTAGTGCAAAATGGCGTGGAAGATATGTTACCTTTAGTTAAACTAGATCCTGCACAGCTTAAGGAATATTTAGACAATCCGCCTTGCTCGATCGATCCGCGATTATGGAAGCAGGCTCAACTGGATAATCCCAATCCAGAACTTTATATTCCTGTACCAATGATTGGTTTCCAACAAGTTAAACATAGATTAAAATGTCAGGGAGAGGAAACGACAAGGCACAGAAATTTCCTAGATATGGCGGCTGATGAAATACAAAAATTACAGAGACAACATTCGGCAATACAAGCTAGATTAAAGGAGCATCGTAGAACTTTGTTAGAACTTCAACATAGGGTATTACAGGTATGTAAATGTATTTCCTGATAATTATTTTCTGATAATTAATTACAAATATTTTTTCAGGTGTTAGTACGCCAAGAAATTACACGTAAAGTTGGGTTGTCGTTGCAACCGGAGGAAGAAGTTTTAACACGTAGGTTCGAATCTATGCACTCCCAAGTTAGTGCTCCAACTCAATTCAAAGGTAGAATTAGCGAAATGCTTTCTCAATTGAGAATGAGAAATCATATAGACACACAAAATCAGGAAAGATATGCGATGGATCCCATAGCACAGGATGACATAAAAGCGGTATGTAAAAGAGATATTTACGAAAGGATTACATGAAAAATACACGTATAATTTACATATATATATATTTTAATCCGTAGTATCTAACAATGGAACAACAAGGCATGGCACAACTTATAGCAACAATAAACTCCGATCTAGAAAGTTTGAAAATTATTAAAGATGGCATGTCTGAACTATTAATGAGTCATAATATATCGTGAGAATTATATATAGCAAAGCAATTTGCTGTATTGTTGTTAACGTAAGTGATATTGTCACTGATGATATGGTTGCAAGACCTCAATATGCAACTAACAACAAAGATTTTGCACCTCCGTAAAATTGATGCCATATTTATTTCAAATCTATTTTTTGTCACTATTGATTTTCTCTATTACAAGTTATACACGTTTTTATTCAAAAACATTATTTCGCCTGAAAATAACATTTATTAATTATGATAATTTTCTACGTATTAAATGAACAGCTTAAATATTGAACCAACCTGTTTAAACAATGCTTGAAAAGAAAAGTTTTTATAAGCGTAAATGCGACTATCATATTATATTCTTTCACCAATGTTATCAAAATACGGTTATAATACTTTCGAGATTGAAGGGGAAATGGAACTTGTTATATGCTGAAAAAAAATAAACATTTTTTTACATAAATAATGTTTTTATTGAATAGTTTAATGTCGTTAAACATGCTCTTTTCATTGCAGAAACGCACGTATTCTCCTTCATACGTCGAACATCTTGAATAGCTTATACATAATACATCTTTATATACATATTATACATAGATGTTAAACATAACATACCAGATTACTTCTTTCAAACGCATTATAATACAACTATCCAACTAATGTTATTTATGATTTTTATGAAACGTATCTTTCATATTCTCGTTTACTTTACTCATTTGCTTATTAGGTTTTGGTTTAATGTACAATAAGAGTTTCGTATTCACAGTTTGATTCAAGGTTGACCGCGATTTGAAAAAATTGCGTTAAAATATATCTTTAATAAGTTTGTCTAATCTTATAAATCTGACATATTTACGGAAAACACAATTTGACACATTTATATACATATGTTATGGATTAAGTGATTAATTTTGATAAAAGCATTATTTATAATGTCCGGCCATTGCGAATAACGACAAACAAAATCGTGTATTTTAATTAGTAACTAAACTTCACTCAAAATTATGAACTTTATTCATAATTTTGTTCAAATTAATAAATTAATCAATATTTATCAAGTTGCGCGGCAATTTTAATCATTATTCATAGTACATAGTCAGGCATTATAAGTAATTATCTATTAGTCGCTTAATCCATACAAAATATAACATTTTCGATTGACTTAGTATATTAGATGAAAGTTTTGAACACGCATTAATAGCATCCGCGGTAATGTCCAAGTATGTATAATAAACTAATAAATTTATATTATAATTTAATATTAAAATAGATGCATATATGTACGAATATAATGGTGTTTACTATCCACGGAAGACCTTGGAACTTAGTACTGTGGATACGGAGGTCTTATTGTATGTATGTATATACAAGATATGGATGGAAATTTCGTTCTAGCCGATTGATCAAACTACACGTAAATCTAAAACTGAGGTTTTCTAATTACGTTGCTAAAGGAATTACTAACGAATTAAGATTGAGCAAATCTCATTCGACGCGAAACTGTTTCTACTTTGACTGACTTTATCATATGACATACGTTAACGTATTATAATATATTTGGTTTCACAGTCTAATGAAAACAGACAACTTTCTCTTCTTTAACAATAATCTTCCTTCTCACCGGTATATTTTATCGACCTTCATCTCTCCCGATTTTTATAAACCAACTTTTTCTAGCGAATTAAATAAACTATGCAAAAAATAATAATCCTCGAATCTTCTTCGTTAATCTTAAAAAATTAATTTGATATAAAAATTGCGGAACTAATAACCGTTCGTAGCCCGAGTAGAAATTCATGTTTATTAATATTAATAATTATCGTCCTGGATTTACAATAATATCAAATAAAAAGTTACGATTTTTCAGATTATAAAAATAGATTCTCTGAAGAGGATCAGAGGTCAAAACGCTCGATCCCAGGACGACCTCAAAAATAATGTTAGAACACCAGGCACGGTCGGTCGTTTAAGTCGTACTTTAACTTTTTCAAAATCAAAAACATATATCAATCTTTGTAGAGAAAATGTATGCCTGCAGAAATCCTGAGCGTTCAAATTTTACCCCTTGCAAAGCTAATTTCATTACTACCTGATATTACTTATTGATTGTTAAATCCAATGGAAGATCCTGCTCCATCTCTACTACGTTCTCGTTTTTAACTCGTAGATCTTGTCCGCAGGTGTTCGTGTCCACGATGTTTCCCCACATATTCTGCAGCCCGTACTGCAGATCCACCGTGCCCAGCAGGTGTCTGAACAGTGGATTCTGCGTTTTGAGGATCAAATCCGACAGAATTTTCGTTTTCTCCAAGATGTTGTCGTTATTGTGTACGCAGCATTTGTGACGACAACAGCAGTCGGTGGTGTCTTTGCAGATATCTTCCTTGGCCGGTATTTGCTCCACCTCCATTTTCAAATCTTCCGCTCGCTTTATCACAGAATGTCTCACTGGGTCGCAAATGATGACGTTTTCTTTTTTGCAGGGTGTGCTGTTGATAATTGATTCGATATTCCTGTAGTCAACCGTGCTGATCTTACTGGGGCATTCGATCGTTTCTTCGACCTTAATAGGCGTTGATTGCATCCCGATGCGAGGCAACGTATCCGGGACATGATGCGGACTGGTCCGCGGCGAAACGGACTGTACCGACTGGGGTGGTGGACTCTCCTTGATGATGGAGTTGTTGGAAACGTACATAGGATTAACCTGAATTCTTTCTGGTATTATGTAATTCTCGTCGTAAACCCTTGGATAGACCTTCACTTCCTGCTCGTAGGTTTTCCTCGGCGTGATCTGCTCCTGTTCTTTGCGTTGGTCTTGGAGATTGTACATGTTGTTCCACTCGACGAAGTTCCTCTGCTCCTCGAAGCTATTGCTAGCCTTCGGACTCGATCCTGACATGCTGCTCTCGATGCTGCTGTCCTTTTTGTCGGACGATTCAGAGTGAGTACTGCTGCTCTGCTTCTCCGGCGATACCGTATCGAATCTTGCCTTTTCCTGCGAGTTGTTCTCCTCGAAGCTCTTTTCTTGCACCTTGTCATTGTTGTTCACGTAGTGCCTGTAGGTTTTCACATGCTTCCGCAAGGAGGAGGGATCGGTGTACCTTTTGGGACAGCCAGGAACCTTGCAACAGTAAGGTTTGTCTACGGCGTGAGTTCTGGTGTGTTTGAACCTGTCGGAAGAGTTGGAGTAAGCTTTGTTGCAGCCTTCGACGGGGCAGACGTAAGGGCGTTCGCCCGTATGAGAACGGGCGTGAATCTTGAGGTTTTCCGCTCTACTGAAGCTTTTGTCACATTGGAAACAGTGGTGTGGTTTCTCGTTCGTGTGCGTTCGGACGTGAACCAGCATCTTATACCTAGACAACAGAAGGAAATACCAAGATAAGATTCAAAATACGGTTTTGAAATTCCAGGAGGGAAAGAAAAAAAAAAAAAGAAGTTTTACCTAGCGTTAAATCCACGTTCACCTCTGGCGCACCCTTCCCAACCACAGTAGAAAAGTCCGCGTGGTCCCGGCGCAGCGTGGAGTCGCGCAACGTGTCCTGCCAGCTGTTCCAAGGACGTGAACCAACGACCACAATTTTGCCATCTACGAATCGGAACAAGACGCGTGTTAGCCTTTGGTCTCGCCAATACAATCCGACTTGCTATATTGTTCGTAAGTATCGAGATCGTAACTAACTACGTACTGAACGATCGCACGAGAATAGTAAACGTTTAACGATATTGATCTTTGATCGCTCGATCGTCCCTATCAATCGAACTGTCCATAAGATGATTATCGTTTAAGGCTAATATCTCGAATCTCATGTTCTCCCCGTCAATCGATCTATTTATATTATTTTCTCCTTCGGTCACATATCAAGAATTTCTAAATATAACTATACACACTATACACACGGAAAAGGTGATGCTCTGTGCATTTTAATCGTCCGATGACGCTTCGAATTAAAAGAGAAACATTCATGAAACCTTCGGGAAACCTGGTTCGCTTCGCTATCGACTGGTTTCACCGCTTCCCTCCCCCCCCCTGGTTTTCAAGGTCACGCTGTAAACAGCGCACTATCACGTGAACCATTATCGTCGTCTATAAACGTAAGTAAATAATCGGACTGGAAGACGTTCAACTGAAATATCGGCGCGCGATTTGCGTCAAGAACGTCCGTTCAACCTACCAATTGATACCAATTCCGTCCGTTGTGCAATTGGCGTCGCTTGACACCAGTTTATCTAGACGTACGGTCTCTGATGCTATCACAGTAAACGACGTCGTATTCCGTGAACGGCCATGCTCGCGTAAAAGGTTGCCGATCAAGGTGACGTTAGCTAAATCCCTCAGAACCGTCCGATGTTCTTACGTTTACGTAATTGCTTGAAGAATTTCCTCGCTCTTGCCAAGCTCACGTTCTTGATCTTGGGGACTTGACGGGGGAATTAGCGCTTATCGAGTTTCGAGGAAGACGAACGACTCGATGCACGAAGCGTACGAGCGTCGCGATTACGACCAACGTCGACACAATGACGATTGTTGACGGCGATAACAAAGCAGACATTTCCGAATGCACGTGGCTACCACATGCAAAGCACGAGCACGTACAACGAGCCTAATATTCGCACGCACCGAAATATTCTCGTGAACCCAATAGTCTACGAACGCGATCGTGTCGTGCAATCAGGGTTATCTGAAGCTGACTTTTATTTCTTCCGGAATTATTATAAACAGGCAGATCCATTTAACAGCATCGATGTGTCTCTTGCTATTCTTCGATGCTTTGTGAATTCTTGAAATACACGAATCTGACGATGATGGTTTTGTCGCCCGCGAGTTTTCATCAAAGAACAAAGAAAAGAAACTGCGGCGATTTGAGACGATAAGGAACTTTAGGTCGAATCTAGAGCGAGAAAGAGAAAGAACGATACAGAAAGAGAGCCAAGATGTCGTTTGATATCACGGATACGGGAAACTGGTTGGAGCCAGTATGGGACGCGTGCTGCGAATACGACCGTGCACGCGCGCCACAGATAAATTAGCATCATTTAAGAGAGTCGCGCGATTCGCGTGGAAACAAGTCCTCGGTGACCAGCATCGGTTAAACGATTCGCGTGAAAAACGCAAATGAAACGGAAACGATGAAGAGAGTTGGCTGAAACGAGTTCGCTAGACGAGAGGAAGGGCAAGGAGAAGAAATATCTCATTAAAAGCCGTCCGTTTTCTGATAACGAGATACAGATTTGAAGATAAACACGCGCTTCAGACTCAATTGGGTGAATAAATCTGTGCTCAATTTAGATAATGTCCCGACATCTACACTCTGTTCCGGTTGAACACGTGACCGAAAATATTTTTAGAAAAATATCTTTATAACTTTGTTAAATATCGTCTCAAGAAGATTCCAAGCTCTCTTTACTTCTTTCCTCCTCCAAACGTATTTCCATACGAATACCTCCAACCTGTGACCATTAAAAAGAAGACAAAAGAAAAGAGATTGCATTACATGATTTACCTGCATTTTAGTTGAGCATTCTCGCCACGTCGAATGGATCCAAGTTCCAAGCTGGAACTAGAAGCATCCGAGTCGCTGTGAGCTGGACTCGGTGGTCCACCATTTGGTAAACCATCCGGCGAGGCTCTCAAACCCGGTATCGCGGTCGACGGGGTAGTTGCAAGTTCCTCCTCGACCGGCATGCTTCGTGGCCAACAAACCGGAAGGTCCAGCGGTGGTTGCTGATGCAGGCTGAAGCTCCCGTAGTAGTTGGAGTTGGGACTGGTCGAATAACCGGAAATCGGGTTGTAAAATCCCGGTACCGCACCCAGCAGTGTGCTCGGATAACGAATGGAGCCGTACGGAGCAACGTGGCTTGGCATTCTACCCGAAACGTAAACGATCATTTTTATTCTTTGTTGTACCTTCTGTCCTTCAATTTCTTTCCGTTGACGAACTCGCCGATTCGATCGACAGACGTGCAAATTTCTGTGCCCCCGGATCCTCGTTTGTATTTCGTTTCGATCAATGAGAATTTTTTGTCAGAGAAAATCATAAAAATTGCAGAGGTGTTGCGTGTTCGCTTTAATGGAAGGATTTACCAATTGGATTTGAAAAATTGAGGAAAAGACGGCAGGACACTCGTATTTCTCTGCATAAAATTTCGGGCGTGAAATCTCTATCGTTGAGGGAATATAATTTGGTTTCATCGGTTTGTTTATATTTATCTGTGTGTACCACTTGCTGATCGGAATCGTTCTCTCCTCTCGCGATCTCGAATGCCTTCGAAAGTGTCGTGTTATCAACGGGTTTCGAAGGCAACGCCTCGTTTATCTCAATCGGTAACGAACAGAGAAAATCGACGCATCGGTGAAAATCGCGAACAAGACTTTCCAGGTCTTGCCGGCTCGTGGGCTCTCTCTTGATCCTGCCTATATTTCCGATTTCTTTCCCTGAACACCGTTGCCAACGACAAGTCGAGAACGGCTCAGTACGCTCACATACACACTCTCGCTGTAGCGCGCACCCTTTTATCACACTTAGTCCGAGTCCGTATCGTCAGATGTACTTGAACCGGTTCGACTTGAGTATACGGTAACTCAGGAATTGCTTGCTGTACTCGATCGAGAACATAACTAGGTTGGCCCGCGACGGATTCATCAAACGCGAGCACCCTTTCCACGTGCAGAGGGTCGATCTGCAATCTCTATCGAATCGAGCTCGAGCTTCCGTGGCGCACGGAACAACTCTCTAACACCTATTGCTGTCTGTCAAACGCTTCGAAGATTGCTTCCTGCCGACGCTAGAACAACACCGCCTCCATCCTTTCGCTTCTCTTTCTCTCGTGTCTGGTCTTTTGATCTCTGCGTAGATATCGTCAATCTCGACTTCTCCCTTTATCTTGGAGCAAAGATCTCGGCTCCGGTTGGGTCGGTGACGCGCCGATGATCGCGGTTACCCCCAGGGACGTCGATGAATCGCGTACCACGGTGGTCGACTACTGCCAAGACGTGTATCGATGATCCTCGTCGAGGAACTTGAGAGCCGAAGACCGATCGGAAAGGAGCGAGAAAGAGAAAGAAAGGAGAAGAAGGACAGTCGAGAAGAACAGACGCAACAGAAAAGCCGTCTCTGCTGCTAAAAGAGCACAACGAACATCGAACTAATGTCAACGACGAGCCAACGGCCTTATATATAGCCGCGCTATCGTTGCCGATAACGTCCCACGCTCCTCCCACCTCGCCTCACTAACACATCGACGTTGATAACAGTTGGCTGTGCAATGCGTCAGTGAACGACGAGCAAACCACGACCAGACTTACTGATATCTTCAAAAGCGGAGAACGATCTCTGAGGAGGTCTCCGCGTTGTTGCATGAAATGCAACGTTGAATAGCATAATAATAACTCGTCGCGCTGTCGCAGATGAAAAACAGCGCCAACATTCTTTTTTAATATTTCGAATTTGTAGGATGATCGATGATGGCTTGTCGATAGTTTATCTCAATAGAGAGACAATG